GTATGGAACCCTACAACAAGCAACAAACCATTTCCAAAAAGCGCGGCATGACCTGAAACACCTCCCTTGTAAGGCATGCTATCAAAGCACTCCGAGCTATTCATGGTGCTCCCGTTGCTGAGTTGAGCAAATGCGGAAGGAAACGAGCGCTGGCAAAGGTGAGAAGCTATTAGGTAGGAATCCGGTGACTTCGCCTGGAAGTGTTCTCGTATGAAGGTGGGAAAGGAAGCCGCGGCGGCTCCCATAGAGAACAGAAACTGGTATGGCATATTGCGCCCATTACATGAACACTAATATTTCCCCTCGAGTTGATGCTACAGCGAATTTTTCTCGGCATCACTATTTGCACTGCTAGGGGACTACTGTAATGCTCAAATTCTATGAATTTAGAGAGTTTTTGACAATATTCGATGCTAAAATAAAGTACTCTTCCTTTTGAGTGAGGTAATATGATAGAAACTGAATCCTCAGATTCGAAAAAATCCTGGCGTGAACATGAAGGTGTACAAAAGGCAGCACCATTCTCAGTGTTGCAAAATGTCTTGAGCCCAGCCGTCACCGGTTTTCGACAGATGTGAAAATACCTCGCTCAGCGCTTGAATGTTTGGAGGGTTACTCTCGAAGCGCCTGCAAAACTGGAGGGTCACTTTCGGCACTCATTAGCCATAATGAATCCTTGGTTGAAGTTTTTAATGCGTATGTGTTTTTGCTCTTTTCGAGAGTGTGTTTTTTTCTTCTTCCTCTTCCTCCTGACACTAGATGTCATGGCAAAAGAACTCATGGAGGGACCACTGAAAACCATCCTCTACGCTGACGACATCGCCCTGATAGCGGACAGCAGGGAGGAACTCCAGGACAAGGTGCAGCGGTGGCAGGATGTGCTCGCTGAGAATGGACTCCGGCTGAACGTAAAGAAGACCAAGTTCCTAAGCTCCGAAGAGTGCACCGAACTCATCGTAGACCGCCATGGCGAGAGCATCGAAAGGGTCGAGGATTTCCAGTACCTGGGGAGCAACCTAGCAGCTGATGGCAGCGTGGACCAGGCGGTGAAGGCCCGAATCAACGCAGCCTGGATGAAATGGAGGGAGTCCACTGGCATCCTGTGCGACCGACGGTGCTCGAGAACGCTCAAGGGCAAGGTGTACCGGGTTGTACGGGCGGTGGTAAGGCCTACAATGCTCTACGGCAGTGAATGCTGGCCCATCTGCAAGAACCATGAAAGGCAGCTCCACTCAGCTGAAATGAGGATGCTGAGATGGGCCTGCGGCTGGACACGACTCGACAGAGTCAGAAACGAGGACGTCAGGGCGGTCACACAGACGGCTCCGATCCAGCTGAAGGCACGAGAGCAGCGACTGCGATGGTATGGGCACGAGGAGGCCTGAAGACCACCCAATAAGGAAGGCATTGGAATTCGAAGTAGAGGGCAAGCGACCACGAGGAGCCCCAAAGAAAAGATGGAGGGACGTCATCAAGAGGGACCTCACTGAAGTGAAAGCCACAGCAGAAGATGCAGTGGATCGGAACAAGTGGCGACGTCTAACAAGAACAGCGGACCCTGCGACGGCGCGGGACTAACGCTAGGGAGAAGAAGAAGAAGAAGAGAGTGTGTTTTTTTCTACCATAAATTCAAAAAACGATTCTATTCATTATTTTGCCGATTTGCAGTCATATTTGACGTCGAAAAGCTAAGAATTCCAGGACTTCGGCATTTATCCTTCTTTCGTCGAATTATATTATGAAGAGTCGTTACTAGCTACTCATTTTTAATTCATTTTTTGCCCACTCAAACACGCACAGTTCAAGCTGCTTATCAGCAAACGTAGAGCGATTGGAACAACCGAATTCGCTTCATTTCGCAAATATTGATGAATCGTAAAGCGATTAAAGCAAAAACCGTTGATAACCCATTCGTGAGGAGGGGAGACGGGCAAGGGAATCGTGCAATTGCCGCTTCGTCGCGCGCGGCAATGGGCGCGACAGATCCTTATTTTGCACTGCCCTTTCGAATGAAGCATCGGATTCCATGTAGACAAGGACATGGTAGACACTCATGTCGATTTTTGGTCATACATTGTCTATTCTCGACCAATACCACCTGAAATCGTCGTCGCTAGCGGGCGCGACGTCGCTCAACGCCCGCTGGCGCGGCGAATTACGATTCCCTTGCCACATACCCGTGGCGACGCCATTTCGCCGAAAACTCCCGTTTCTCCTTCGCCGCGCTCGCGACGGACGACAAACGCTAAACCTCCCTTTTGTCATTGTTGGCAAAACCCTTCAAAAGGCGTGCAAACTTCTCCTTATGACGGAGTCACCCAGGTTGACGACGATGTATGTTTCGGAACACTCAGAACCCGGCAGTCTTAAATAAACTCTTGTCTCAGCATCTTTCATAATCATGTACGCGTTTTTGGTTCACTAGGTGTCGACCTTCCTTATTATCGGTAGAAAAATCAGTCTTTGTTATTGGCACGTTGGATGATATTGCTATGCTCTTCAAATTCGAAAAACAGTGGAGACGTAGAGTTCGAAAAAGATGAGCGTGGCTTTTTCATTGTCCAGACAGTGAAAAACTTATCGAAGAAGCACTTACCGATCTCCTTAGAGCGTGGAACCTGAGGTTCATTAACAGCAGTGGAAAGCGCACGTACTGGTTGGAAAAAAGAGAGTTGTGCCAAAAAAAACCTTACCAGTGAATACTTTCGTCCGCCGGCTGTATTTCAGCTTGATTTTTGCCCTGTCAATTTAATTCCGGAGCGATTGTGTTGATGATTTCTACCTGACCGGGTGCTATTCGGGAGCATGCATTCGAGAGTTGTTCGAGAGGTTCGTGCTGTTGTGGTGTTGCTCAACAAGTGTTAAGCCCAAATGTTTCAGCTTTTGGTGACCTAGATAGCGCTGCATCTCCTTTCGTTTTACCTAACCTGTGGAGAGTCTGGGAGGATTCCTACACATGTCAGTTCTGTTAAAAATGGAAACTCGAAATTAGTAGTAGAGCGCGCAAAATGGCACCTTTCGAGAGTCTGCATGAAGATTCCATCATTATAGAAACGTCCAAAGTGCCACAGATATCGGGTTGACAGGAATCTATGACTTCGAGAGCAGTGCATCCGTTTTCAATGTAATATCCAAGTGTGAACCCAAATGACAGATGTGGAAATATAGGCTAAAGATAAAAGGGTGTAGTACAGGGTGGAAATACAGTCTTTTTCCCGTTTAAATAGCTGCTTGGAAGGATGAGGGACATAACGTACTATGCGCGTTCTTTGGCGTTTTTCCTTTTTGAAAGTGTTATTTTTAGGAAGCGATGTCTAATTATCATAGTACCTCAGTTGTTCTAAATGGCTGAGTTCAACACTGACGGTCATTAATAGAAAGACGTTAAGTACTTTTAGAGTACTTTTCTGTCTTTAAGTGCGTTTAAAGTACCTTTTCTCTCTATGCGCCACGCTTTTGTCTAGTGCTGACGTCGGTGAACCTACAGCAAAGCCAAAGAAGTTTACAACACAGCGTCTGCCTAGTTGATTCGGAAACAAAATTGAAATCTTTCGGCACATACGGAAACTGTAAGCGGGTGTAATTCATACTTCTAGTCAGGAGTATTTACCAAAACGGTTTTCGTGCATACTTCCCCTGCCCAACTCAAATTATTGTATGTTATATCCATCACAGGGCTTATCGTTGTTGGGGAATCCCCAACAGGGGGGGTCGTATTTGGCCGCCAGGAGGGGGGTCGTATTTGGGCTGAGAAAAATTTATTTTGATAGTTGATTTTTCTCGCTTCACGGACGTTGTAAAAGGGGGGGGGGGTCGTACTTGCTCATTGTTGGGAGGGGAGGGGTCGTATTTACTTTTTGGCCTTCTAGGAGTGGTGGGAGTGGTGGTTGACTTTTCGTGATTTTCCTGTTTCATGCGTGCTACTATATAGCCTCCCCCCTTCTCCTGTTCTACTCCGCTCGACGGCTCTATTCGATGAGGGGCAGAGGGGCGGAGGGGGGGGAGGTTGTACGGACTCGACTAAAATCTCCAATCAGTGGGTGTGCCTGATCCATTGAATGCATCCTTTGCTTATTAACACGGTACATAATTTTCTTACTAAACGACTATCAGTGTGTACAAGGCTACCATAACGCCCACACTTTTTTTCAGTTTCCGAGAGGTTAATGTCATTTTCTAAAGTGCCGGAACAAATTACTTCTTATCAATGATTAGTGGTCCAGCTGAACCCCAGACGTTAAAAAAGCTGTCATGAACGTGGTGACGCAGACATGAAGAGTGACTTTTCCACTGGTTGTGAAGAATTCAGAACGCACAGTATAAATTCTGGGTTGTCTTCGCGACCTTAGCATCGTAGTCAACGTTTCAAGTACCAAAAGATTACTCTTGACAACTTTTTCGAACGGATGAGCACACTTTCGCGAGAAAAAGTAGCCATGAAGGCATCGCACTTCAACAGAGTATTCCCTAGCTAGTTTTCTAAAAGGTCGCAGACACAGAGAATGTGTGTGTGTCTGTCTACCTATGTCTGTCTGTCTGTGCGTCTGTCTGTTTCCCTGTTTGGCTGCTTTCATAAAACTCATGGCGTAGGTCTCCGTGAGACGTTGATTCCAAGAAGTGTTAGAGGAGGCACGACGGGATCCTTACTGATGAGTAAGTAGGAGGTGATAAGAACTGATAAGAGGGGCGCTAGAAAGGGAGGGTTACGAAACTCACAGCGCTGATGACAGCGATCGTGACAGTTTGGTTCCAGTAAGTGTTGTAGAGGGCAGGGTAGGATCCCTATTGGGAGAAACTGCTGTTTGCTGATTTTTGTTCCACGCGCTGTTTACTCCTAGTTGGTGCGGTCATTTCTGAGAAAGTTGAAAGGAGCGTCAATTCCCTCCCCTCTCAGACTCAACAGCAGAAACTTGGGGAAATTTGGTTACGATGATCGGTTAATGTGGAGGGAGACAAAAATCCTAGTGTGGGGAAGGGGAATTGTATTTAGCAAAATTTCTCCCTAGCGCCAGGACGTGTCCTATTTTGAAATCAATCCAGGAGAAAGCACCGATGAAACGGCAGGTTCCGGCAGTAGCCCTGATATCTGGCGTCCCGTAAAGTAGTGAGATCCGCTGAAGGCTATCATATGCACATGAGAGAAAGTGTTAGCCAAATTCGTAGATAGAGGTGTCTCTCAGTCACTCCATCTGCCAACCCGTTCCTCACTTACTCATGTTCCCCGCTTCGTCGGCTGGTCTAGGTGCACATGGAGAATTTTTATCCTTGGCACCGTTCGCTTCGGCGGACACCCCGCCAAAATCTCGTGGGGCGAACTCCATTGTGGGCTGAGCTTAAGTTACCTTGTGTGCGATCTGCAAATGTTGGCCCATGCCACATCCATCCCGAGCATAACCAGTTCGCTAATTAGTTCCTAAAAGTGGACTTTCAAGTAGCCTCCAATTTTCAGGCGGTCACACAGACATACAGAAACACGAACAACTTCAGGTATATATGTATAGAGATTAAACAGTATTGTGATCAGCATGTGATCCCTCAATGTTGTGTCAGCGCAGTTCTCTAGTGTTTGTCGTTTTCAGTGACGTCATGTAACCCAGACGTCATTACGTCATTACTAAGCCCATTCAGTGCTGAATTACAGCGCGCGAATCACATAATGTAATACTCAGAAGGCATTGTCCTGTCGTCTTCGCTCTTCATGGTTAATTAAGATTAAGAACTGAAGTGACGTAATACTTTCGTAAGAGCGACTTCCTTGTCTCTGTTAAAGGCAGTTGGCACGATAAATCCCCTAAGACGAGTAGGATTAATACGCCTGGCAGGACGGAATTCCGCGACCCTGAGCAGGCGCTGCATAGCGCCTTTTCCAAGAAAGGTACCCTTATAAGGCCCTATCAAACTACAACATACCGACCGAATGCCGGTATCTTGTAGTTTGAGTAGGGCAACGCTCGCCCGCCACAAATGGACGACCTTACCTGATGCTCTTATTGCTTCATTTGCTAAATAAAATATGAAGCGAAGGAATAACGATATGATATGAAGCGGATGCGCTGCTGCAGGGATGTGTTAGTTCAAATGTGCAGCCACACCTACCCTAGCGAGTATTGGCAAGATGCCTAATCCTACGGGAAACTCGTACGAAATCGCTTTTTGAGTCATTAAGAACGAAGGCTTTTCTTCGCAGGTTTCTGTCCGTCCTATTTCGTATTTTCGCCATCTTTCCACTATATCGCGCCTTGCTAGCATTTTAACTCTAGCAGCAAGTTATCATGCCAACTGCCTTTAAGGCAGTTAAAAGAAATCAGTTCAGCCTTTTCGTCGACAACTATCAGTACTCTGATTTTTCAGGTTCATCGCTCACCCGCTGTGCACCATGTGATGGATCAAATCTGTTTGTTATGCCATGAAATGTTCTCCCATGAAGTGCCAAGTCTTCGTGCGGAATGTCGAGCTAACTGCTTCCGAAACGACAAGTTCGCTTCATGTATCGCTATGTTCAGCTCGAAAAATCGCCCACAACGCGAGCGATAATGTGCTACGAAGTGGCAAATCATCGGTGTGCAGTTGCAATATATGCGCTACACCATGGCAAAAACATCCATATTCTTTTTTTCTCATGTAGGAATGATCGAATAAAAACAAAAGCAAGCACTTTGCGTTCACTGTTCTGCAAACAGTTGGAAGACACATTTCGCGATAAGTAAGTAGTATGAGGAAGGGGCGCAGACTGTTATGCCTTCCTTGATAGTGAGCCTCTTTTTGATGAAGGGCTGAGGGCGACACAGTGATTACGAGTCTCCGCCCACTCAGCTATCGCAGACTGTGTCTTTGACTCTCAATTACACAGATCTTTTATAGGCGTCGATTATGAGCACTCATGTTCAGCATTGATTTAATGTAGTTTTCTCTCCTTCTTGGTTTTGAGCGACGAGTTTGCGTTCCGAGCATGACTCTTGGTTTGCTTAACTATACATTTATGAAATGACTTCTACGTAAATTCTCCGTAAACAGATGTCAAATGATTTTATTAGTGGTCTTATTGTGATCTGATCATTAGAGCTAGTCATCGAGTAATCTCTATCCGACGTTCCAGATCTCTAAAATTATCTGTTACGGGTATTGTGTTCGTGCGTATAAACAAATTTCGAAACACTAGTCTAGCAATAAAACATTCCTTTCTCACATCGCATGATTTACTAGCCGATGTCGCCGAGAACTGTCGGTTTTATCTCTGCCTTTGATACACGTGCTGTCCAGTTTATGTTGTTAGTTTAAAAATGCGGCGATAGCGATAAAAGATGCGCTACAGGCAAGGTCATGAGCTCAGCGTTCGTAACAAGGTGAAGGGAGCGTTCAGACTTCGCGACGGCAGCGTTTCCGTCGCACGAACAACTCGATCACACCGGTACGGCGACTTGATTATCGGTCCTACGCGCGTCTGATTCGATTTCGATCGCGCTCCAATGCTAAAACTGAATAGATCGCTACTGCTTCAACGACGTATTCGTTCATTTCTCCCTTTCTAGCTATTTTTGAACACATTAAGGTTTTTCAGATGCATGGTTTGTTGGTTGTCATCGAAGATAGCAGCGATTCACGTTTTACGTTGTCCCCACATGTGTCTGCGATATTCCAAACTTCCACAAGTTCGTATAAGAAAGAACGTATCATTGATTTACAACTCAGTAAACAAGGGACCGCTTGTTGATCTTTTTGTCCCAATGGTCTGTCCTTGGCTGTGCATGAGACCAAATCTTATTTCCCGCTGGAAACATGTGCGCTTTTCTTGTGTCCAGAACCCCATGTTGACACCCCACCCTATGTGCCGCTTTTCTGCGCTCACCACTGATTGGTTGTCCAGTCTCGCCGCCCAGCAGCAGCACAAATTTTTGTTTCCTAGCGCATTTCCTTAACAACACACACGGACGAAGTTGCCTGACGGTGCGGTGAGGAATAATTACAGAGGTGACCTTGGACAGAGAACAACATGTGCGGATTTTAGGGGTTTTTTGTGCGTTTCTGCTTGAATTCTATGTCGGTAAGATGGGGGGTCGTGCGTGCTCGCCCTTGGTCCACATTTTATTGAAAGGCTGCATCCATCCTGTGGCGTTAGTCTAGGCGCGGGGAGCTGAATCAGATTCGTCCGATACGAAATACATCGTGCCGTCATCAGCGATTGCTGTGCTCGAGCGCTGAAATGCTGTGCGCAGGGAACAGGACTACATCATTGTTGGTGCGGTATGCGCCAAGACAGGGGTGTCAGTATGGTGGCGTCGAAGGGGGGGGATCCGTAATCAGGTGCGGCTAGCGCAGTAAAAAGGGTCGAAAGGTGTCTACGGCTGCATGTTCCACTGGTGTTCAGCTGATATTCAAATTTGGTAGAGGGAATCCGGGATATGTAACAAAAACAGTACAACAACTGTTCTTTTGTGAAATAAGCTAAGCGAGAACAGCTTTGGAAAAATTAAATAAAGTCGACATCATAAATGGTTAATATATGGCTAAACCAGGACAAACCATACCTGGTCCGCCTGCGGATGGATGGTGGTCCATAGGCAATCCGCGGCTTGCAACGGCGTGAAGGCCTAAGGTTTGCGTGTTTGTCTTACTACGAAACGATAGGGCTACCAATTTGTCGTCGCATTTCACGTGTCGAGTTTTCCAGCAGTTGGTCTCCTTGTCTTTTATGCGTTTGCGCTTTATCACAGCTCAGCATTGCGGAGCACTAGATCTGCGGCGTGGTGCGCGGAAGCATGGGACACCCCGGAATCATTCGCCAGCGGGCCCAAGCACTCTAGAACAAGCGCGTACCGTTGGCCCATGGAAGTCCTGAATCCTGTAAACACATCTGCTCGTGTAGACAGGCATTGCGTGGAACTGCACCATCCCACTACCTCTGCGTGGGAGCCTAAGCATGGCGCATCCACAAATGAAGCTAATGGGCGCTAAAACACCTACTGCTTGCTCCTATTCCAAAGGCATTCCAGATGCATTTCTGGATATCCGAGTACGCTCGCTTGAAACGGTACACAGAAAACGGATTTTTCGAGCAGCTCGGAGTGCTAACTAACAGATCCCCAACGCCAAACTCGGGAACTTCAGAAACAGTTTAAGTAGTTTTTGGAAAGAGAAAATCTTCTAGAATTCGACACTGGTTTCAGATTTCCAAACTATTGAGGTTCAAGGGAAATATCTTGGTTCAAACCTGTACATTCGCACTGCAAACTATCCAAAAAGTGCACTCCCCAATAAATCCCCAACGCGAATTTCTCTATGAATTTGGCGACCTTTATGAACATTTCAGTATGTTTTGGGAAGCTCAACTCTTTTTCTTCACGACTGTGTTTTCCACTTTCCCAACGGTCTGCATTCAAGGAAGTTATTACCCTCCAAAGACACCCTGTTTTCCTGAAAACTCGCGCTCCAATCCAACCACCTTGCACCACCTTACGGCTGGTCCTGCCCAGAATCCCCTTCCTTTAAGCCAGCTGATTTCGGCTGGTTTGCATCATGGTTGGCATGGTTCGCATTTATTGTATGGTTCGTATTTATTTTGTTATGTTGTATTATTATTCATTTTCCGCATTTATTGTTGATGTTGGTTGCTGTTGCTTGTTGTTGGTTGTTGTTGGTTGCTGAATGAATAGTGTTGGAGACCGGGGCATGCTGCTTTTCAGAGGAACTTTGAAACAATATGACCCCTCCTCCTCACAGCTTCCTCTTCTGGAGCATTCCCCTCTCCCCATCCTACCTACCATCTCCCTTATATTTTTTTGATCGTTACACCCAATGGAGGAGGAGCGAATAGAGATCCTTGCGTTCTTTAACGGGCAGTTCAGATGGTGTTATCGTCGAGTTGGCAAAGTAAGTAGTTTACAAACATACTGTTGACTACATTAGATTTACATGATGTAGGCTTCCATTTTATTTTATTTTTTTATTTATCTTGTGAGGCGCAGTTGGGCGACGAGTGGGGGGCATTTTGCACTTTCGTTGCTTCACCAGTTCCGGTTTACAAGTCCCCCTCTGGTGGAACCCTG